AAAGTTGCAGAATCCTGACAACAGTCTCAAAAACACACATTCACAGAACCACAGGAACCAATCCTGTCAGCTCATTATTCTTTGTCAGAATCCGTTTCTATTTCTAACGTCTGTGCCTCGGTTACTCCAATATTCAAACTTGTGTACTGTAGACTAGTTTTGCTGCGTTTCAGTGGAGTTGTGGGTAAGCTGGTGTGCACCAGCTGCAGTCTGCAGTAGGAAGCGTGTGTAGGGAGAGATTCTAGAGGAAGCAACAAGTGAAGGGTTACATCTGAGTCATTTTAAGGCAGGAAACCATTATTACATGGACAAAAAATTGTCACTATGCAACTTTGAAACACAGAAATAAGTTTTTAGGAGTGTAATCAGTGATCAGAGGGGGACTTTACAACACCTGATACAACTTCTTGGAAAGGAAACCTGCTTTCAAGATCTCTACGCAAACACAAAGGGGTCGTATAATTAGGAAAATCTGTGCTTTCAGTATCAGCTTTCCATTTTCTTTTGCTCTCCATTCTTGACCGGATACCTTGTTTCTAGTTGTGGACATTTCTTCATGCAGCTGTGCTTTACAGCAACAAACCAGTGTGGAGTGGCGCCAATGACTGGAAATAATTGGTTTTAGAGCAAAGTTTCAAATGCTGCTGACCTGATCGGTCTGTTAAAGTGACAGCATTCAGACACAGGTCACGTTTACATTGTGCATGTTTCTATGCTTCATTCCGACGTTCCTACAATATTAGTTAAACACGAGAGACTGAAATGCATATAAAGCGTTACACACTATATGTGATATATACCTACATCTTAATTTGCGTTTCTGTTCATTACTGTGACTGCATACATTTCAGACTTCAGATGCTCATTCAGACATGAAGCCGTCATGTTCATCTGCCTTCAGATTAACAGAAAACATGCACGTCTGAAAGGTGCTTCAGTCGCACAAGTTTTTATTTGGAGGAAGTCTTCGAAAACGAAAACAACTTGGAATAAAACACTGGCCCACAAAAGGCAACTTGTCGGTTAAATCATCATGATACATCTCCCAACCCCTGATAACAAGTTGGAGATAAACACTTTGTTTTTGAAGACGAGGAAGTTTTCTTGTGAGCAGTCTTTGTTGTGCTGAGTAGGGATGACGGTGTATGGCTGACTTCCAGGCTTGGCTATAATGCTGAGCGAACAGCCTCGGGGCTGCGGAGCAATCATTCCCAGAGCACATGAGGAGCCTACCGAATGAGATGATGACACGGCCCTTTAAGTTGCACAAAAAGTCGTTCATGAAAAATGTCGAGAAGAGCTGCCCCTTCACATACCAGAAACATATGAACAGAGAGTAGCCATCTACTGGGGCAAACGTGTAAAATAGTATAAACAATCACTTGTTCCATACAATGAATGGAAGCAAAGGAAATCCCTATTCACAGTGACTATGTTTTAAAGCATGGTGACTTGCCTCCACCATAAAGAGTGCATAGGGATCAAAAGTCAATATTAACCCAGTGCTGTTTGTAAAAGGCCTTTATGTTCCACTGCTCCACAGTAACAGTGTGATGGAGCTTATTATATAAAAGAACACTAGCTCATATAAAAGTCTGCGTTTTCTTTGGGAGTTTAAACCAGAGACCTTTAGCTCAGAAGCCCATAAGATGAGGAGGAATTCTGTAACCACACTGACCCAAATTTGTTGAAAGCTAATGTCAGAAGTGGTCAGCAATCACCGTGCCCCACTATTCCTGTGGGTTCATCGGCCACAGTTACCACATGGGTGCTTCTTGTGTGTCCCAGCTGTGCGCCACAGATACACTGTGGCAGAGAGTCGGTGACATCGGTGCTTTCAAGGTGAACCAAGGCATCGTGCAACGTGCGTCAGAAAACGCTGCACTAACCTGACCTGAGAAATATTCATTTTTTTTGTCACGTTTGCCGTTGGAATAAATGATGGGAAATCTAAGTGTGGGGGTTTATGAGTGTAAAAATGCGTGAAAAAGCTTTTTGCGGCTCCAGAGGGAGCTGCGCTAAATCTGATAAATGTTTTCAAGTGATGACAATTGAGTCAGGTAGTTTTGGGCCGAACATTATAGGTCTGAAAAAGATAAAAAGTCCCGCTCTTCGTCTCTGCTGGAGACAAGAGGCCACATTAGCTGCTATTAACGCCAATTCATGCTTTCTGTGTCCACGTGTCCGTAAGGGTTCACGTGACAGAAGTCTTGTCGTCTTAAAGTCCGTGAGTTTCTGCGAGATTTGTGACCACTGTGAATGCAGCAGGAAGAGAGGTTGCGTGAGACTGAACACTATCCACAAGTTTACAAACCAAAAGAGTTGCGATCAAAGTAGTTGCTGCTGGACTTTGGAGGTTTTTTCATGTTTGCCATCGATGGTACCCAAACACAGTGGTAGGTTCTAAATTCTCCAGAAATCCCGTGATATGTCTGCACACTATGTTAAAGACGAAAAAAGCAGCAAACTCCGGCTGCAGGCTTGGCACACCTCAAAAATAATCACTGGCGGGTCACGGTGCTAAACAGTCCAATCTGTAACTAGCTTCTGCATCCTGTAAAAAGTGGGAGTCCTGTGTGTTTCTGTGCTTAATATGACAGGCAATGTGATGTGTCTACGTAGCAAACTGATGCATGCATGGTCATATGTATATTGTAACATGGATCGAACTACATGCACCTTCGCTCTCTGGACTCAAAGGCTTCATCGGTCAGCAACCGATACGTAGAAACCACGAGTAAGCCTTCAGATGCAAATTTTAGGCTACGTTCAGACTGCAGGATTTGATGCTCAATTCAGATTTTTTTGCAAGTTCATTCACGTTTCCAATTAAATGCGACTTGTATGTGATGTCCTGTGTGAACTTTATATGACCATAAAGTGTCCTGCATGTGCAGAAGAGGACACAACGACCTCACACGCAGTGAGGGTGCTCAGTGTTTGTGGAAGCAAACGTGGATGGTAACGGTGGCGCGTATCTTGCAATTTTAAAGATGTTGTCCAACCAGAGCCAGCACATTTACAACGTAATTGTTTTAAGGAGAAGACTAAAAAGGAAGAGAGCCAGGTTTTTGGCCATGGCATTTTGTGGGGCAGTGGCAGCAACGTCTGTACAGAGAAACGTGTGAGTGCAGAGTCTACTTGAACATAGAATAGTGACGTTTGTTGTGCATCAATGATGTGTAGGTCGGATAAATGCGACCTGGCTGTTCAGACAGAAGTCGCAACGCAAAAGATCAGATACCTATTGGATTTAGGACCACATGTGGTCGTAGCCCGGGTCGCATTTGAAAAAATTAGATCTGTGTTGTTCAGACTGTCATGAAAAGATCAGATACAGGTCACATAGGGGCAAAAATATCAGATTTTGGTCACATTAGCCTGCTGTCTGAACGTTGTCTTAAATAGAACTGTTAGCACTGAGGGTGCATTGTGGGTAATCGCATTGATGTAGGCTGTAGGTATGAACCTGGCCTTCTCACTGCACATTCACTTATATCTCCTGTCCTTCTGTTATCAGTGTGTTCCAGTACTAAATAGCCCTCTTGCTACAGAAAACAACCACCACCACCTGTGAGCAGCAGCCTACACGCTGAAAACGGCAAATTTTGCAGACGACTTGGATCAAACAATAAAGCAGGCCTGCTTAGTTTAGTTTCACTAAATTAGCCATTTCGCTTCTCTACATGCAAATGTCCCAAAAAATACAATTTTGCAGGAGCACAGTCACATGTTTTTGCTTAGCTCTGTCCAAGATGCTTGTGATTGGTTTGAGAATTACAAACAAGCCAGAGTAGTTTCCCCCCAACAGCAGAATGATACTGAGGTGCAGTCAAACCATTCTTCAGCACTGACACATTACTGTGGAGACCATGCAACACCACACTGTGGGTAATGTAGGAATATATACATATGGGGGGAAAACAATGATAATGCATCTCTGGTTTCGCTGCATCAAATGTGTTCCCTTTTAAAAAAACAAAACTGACCGCTGCGAGTGTGACAAAGTTCTCAGAGTGCACCGCTAAAAACGGTGGAGTGTTCCTTTACAGAACAGAGAATCCATGAAAGCCTGATGGTGATAGTTTACTCCCGTTGTAGCAATCCATCCGCTAAATAGGTTAATGCATTCATAATGGACTGAGATGACAAACAGTGCACAACAACAGACATAGGATCCAACACAAGGCTATAATCTAAAGTGTTTTTGGAGTGTAAAGTTGATCACTGTCTGCTTCTATATCTACATTGAAGTAACGGTGGAAGCTCACCACAGGAGAGGCAGGAGCAGAAAAAGTGGCCTGGATTAGGGTTTTAACAGTACAACTGTCGACAAATCCTGTGAACCAACATACTTTCTGATCGTCCTTGTCATTTCTCTGACCCTCAGCTCCAAATGTGTTCCATCCCTCTGAAGAGGTGCATCTTTAAAAATGCAAACATACAGTGTACTTTCATTTAAAAAAAGAAAATAAAAGCTTGGTATTGTCCTCAAACAGCTGGGCACGGTAGCGTTTATCACATGTTACTCAAACAAGAGTAATTAGTGCATAAAAGTGCGACTAATGTGAGCTGTGGATTAATACACATTTGGTGCTCTAGTGAGTATTTACAAAAGGACAACCCATGTTCTTAATAATGAAGCAGCATGTCATCCAGTGTGGCTATTCACTGTGTTTTTAATAGTTTTTGGACAACAGCAGCATCAGCCCAGCTATCAAGTTTAATGATTATTGGGTGAAAATAAAAAGAAATGACCACCAAGTTGGATAATGTTGCCAATTCTAAGCAAGAACAGGAGACAAACAAAATTAATAAAATATTTGCTGAAGACTGCCACTTACAAAGAGAAAGCTGTTCTTGTGCTCAGCAGAGTTCAGATAAACGCGTTTTAATCGAGCAGAGCTACAGTTTTGGAGAGATGAAAGTTTTTTTTGCAGTACATTTTGCAGATTTGCTCATAAAAACGTTTAAAAAAATAAAAAATCAAAGCCCTGTACCTTTATCCTATCCATGCAGGCCTCCATCTTCAGCTGCTCCACAGCTTTCCTGGCTTGGGAGATGCTGGCCGTGCTGTTGTTGGCGATCCCGTCCTTCATGGTGCTCCTGTGACGCCAAGCAGAGGCACAAAGGGGGGCAACATGGAGTCAATGAACATCACATTAAATCCAGAAAGCAGCAGCCCCCCTGGCGGTATCTCTGCCCACCCCACCCCCTTGGAGCAGCCTTTCTCTACCACAACCCTTTTTTTTTTTTTTTTTTTTTTATTTAAAAGGACCCATTTTGTCTGGGGGAATCTGTTTTTATAGCAGCCAAGCTCCATTTTATCTAGAAAAAAAAGAGCTTTGGAAGGCAGCAGCTGGACAGCAGTTTGTCATTTTTCAGCCACTGCTCATGCATGATTGTGTGTTTTTTTTTTTTTAACTGTCAAGTTATCACAGTTGGCTGGAGGGAGGGAGAAGTTACAAAAGGGGTTCCAGTGCGCTTGCTCAGGTGCACCTCAGAAGAGATTTAGGGCTTGAATCATGCATTGCCATTTCCACTTTCAAAGCAACCAAACCTGCAAACTTTCCCTCAGATCTGCAGCCCCCGGAGCACACATCTGTCCACTCATTGCCTTCATCTCCTCAACTTTCTCCTCAGTGCAGCTGCAGTGGAGTTCCTGCTGATCAATCTCACTAAATCTTGCTCTCATTTTTAAGGCCCCTTGACCCCTCGCTCCTCCAAAATGCCCCAGTTTGGCAGTCAGCAGAACAAACCTGACCACAGATGTGTTTGGAAACATGAGAGGTGGGGTGCTGCTCAATCCACTCACTTACTCTGGATATTTATCACATCGATTTGTTTATTTCATTTTCATTGCATTAAATGGAAATTGATGGTGTTATAGAACTGATGGTTGGTAAAAGAGGAGGAGGAGGAGGGGGGGGATGCAGATTTTCCAATCCACCCTTTCGTGACTCTAAAGCCAGTTTGTAGCTTTTAATCACAGCCTCGGATGAAGCTATCAGGCCTTTTTTTTCCATTTAGGTTTCCCATTCGATTCGTGCATCCACAGCTGTGCTCGGCTGTACGCGGCTCTGTGTAGCCTCTGAGCCGTTTTTATATCCAAATGCAACGATGCTAATTGTTGATGCAGATCTGTCAAACATGGGCGACTCTTATTTCTAATGAGATTAAATAGTGGACACACAGAGAGCGGAGCTGCGGCCCTGCTCAGAGCACAAAACAGCAACGCACACATCATCTACTAAAAAAAAAAAAAAGAAGAAATGTATGGAGGGAGATTATTGAAAAAAGAAATAAATCTGACGCTTCGCTGCATCGCTCGGCTACATTAATGTAGGCTACAGCCGCCGACCTACCTGAAATGTGCCAATGGATTTCCAATTTGGAGAATTCCGGGTTGACTCCACCCAATACACACACGCACACTCACACTCACACACTCACACACAAAAAAAGCGAGGATCTGTCAAATATCAAATGATAAGAGGAAATCCCTTCGTCTCCCAGAACCCGCGGAAGGTAAATCCTGCCGTTTTAATTTCGCCTCAGCGGCTCGCTCAGTGTGAGTCGTGCGTATTCCGTGTAGGAAGATGAAGCGGTGAGGTCTTGGTGAGCACCACGGCTGGACTTGGAGAGATGTTACGCATGCAGCAGGGGGGGAAACCTCTGTATGACGATCAGATACAGGCTGTGGGGCAGGGAGCACTCGATCAGTGGACCAGGAGCTGCAGCAAGAAGGAGAAGGAGCAGCCAGGATTGGAGCTGCCACTCTGCAAACTGGCCCTAAACACACCGACACTGCCTATTAGTCAAATTGGGAGCTGCTGCTTTTTTTTTTTCTCTCTTTTCTTTTTTTTCTAATTTGCTTTATTGCTGCAGAAGGCACCAGAGTATCTGCAGGCTTCCCCATTTCATTTTTACATCAGCTTTGACATCACCGGGTCCCCCCCATAGTAACTGATGGGCCTCATCCTTCACCACAGCACTCTTTGGGAGAATCTGCATCCAGTTTTTTTTTTTTTTTTTTTTTAAACTCCCCAATTTTACCCCCTTTATAATCCAAACTGTGCAGCATTGCCTATGTTTCTTCTTACCTCGTATGTCCCTGAACGCACCTTTTCCCTCCACACAAAGAAAAAGGCACGACATTTCTTCAAATATTTATATATATTTATATATTTATAATATACTTATCACTTGGTTCGTCCAAACATACACACATATATACAAACAAAAACAAACATAAAACATTGAGAACCTCTGTCCATGACGCTAAAAAAAAAAAAAGCCAGAGGTGAAAAAAACAACACAATTTAAGCAACCTAAGACAATTATCTTAAATTATGCATAGCTTAAGTTATTAACAGAAAAATAATACTTCATTCTGTCATTCTCTTTCTGCTTTTTTGCCATTTTCTACATAAAAAAACCAAAACATTCATACAAAATCCTATTTGGATGTTTAAGAGGAAGGTGAAACATAAAATGCACACAAACAGTCATGACACATAGTAAACAAACAGTAACATCATGCTTTGCACAAAAGGTAAGTTGAGGAGGAGGGAAAAAAACAAATCAAGCCAATGACACAAAAAGGAATGATGTAAGAAGAAATATTCCCTTTCTCATGTACAAATCAAACACAACGCATGAACTGTAAGACATCAGTTTTGAAGACTCACTGCAGGTAAACGCAAAAGTAAAACGACTTGTTTCACAGCTGTGTTAAAACAAACTCCTGGTTTCTTCTTCTTCTGGAATCCGATAAAAAAAAGTAACCTTTTGCACGTCTGATATTGCTTTCTAGATTTATTAGTGGAATTAAATCGAAGCTCAGTTAAGATTTTGAATTACACGGTAAAAAGTGCTTCTGACTACAATCTGACGCAATAACAGACAAACTGTGAGTGCAGTAAGTTCTGTGGGAATGTAAAGAAAAGCTGCATGAGGAAAGGAACAGTGGGTTTTCCAGACTGACGAGTGTAGTGTATTCGAGCGAGATGAGCTGTAAACCTCATCGGTGGAGGAGAAGCTGATCGACACGATGCTCTTCAAGAACCCTCCCACCTGCTACAACCATTAAGTAGCAGCACAGGTACTGAGCAGGTGTCGCACATCACCGAGGATCACCAAATTCATCTCTGCTTCTTCTCCGGCCTCAGGCATCTGATGCTGTTTGTTAATTGCTTTCTCAGAATCTCAGCGAGCTCTGTAAAGTGGTGAAAGTGGTTCCAGTGCATTAAAGCGGCAGATAGTTTCAGTCAGTAGAACAAAAGAGGAAAAATAAGGAAGGAAACATGAGCCTTCATGGTGTTTCTAATAAATAAATGAATGGATACCAACATTTCTCACAATGCAAAAAGACGGGTTCAACCGAGGCAGGCCTTAAACAAGGAGCATCATGACAGAAATTGCCATACCCACATTCACGCAGTCAAGGTCAGCATCACCCCAGCATGCAAAAGTAGGACAGAACAACAGGCAACACAAGGTACATCTCAACCCATCGCCTCTCCCCCGGTCCCTCCTCTGAGCTCAGATGCAAACTGAAGCAGGGCCGCGACACTTGTGTTCAGACTTGAGTGGAGCAGACAGGCCGGCAGAGGGGCGTCTCACTCCCACAGAGCGGGACGTCTCCTGGTGACAGACACAACGAAGGGCTGCTCCCTCTCAGCGACTGCAGCGTCAGCAGGACACGCTCGCTTGAGCTTGGGCGGCAATCTGTCAGATGAGGCGCTGCAGGAGATCTGAGCACTGCTGAGGTGAGAGACGGGGGTCTTCACACTCTGGGTCTGGCTTTGGCCAGACAATAGCAGCTTACCAGGAAATGAACATCAGGCAAATACCTTTGCACAACAAAAACACAACAGCAGGAACCAAAGAATAAAAAGACAAATGAAACACACTCTCAGAAACACATTTTGTATAAAGTGTCTGTTGCAGCCTCGGCCAAATATTCATCCATTCCTCCAACATTCCACTTCAGTATGTTTATAAATATATATTTATATACATATAATACTATCTTCATAATCATTTCTTGATGCTGGGAGTGGCTAGAGTTTGCTCAGCTAGGGATGGCTTTATTTAAAAGTCAGGAAGGTTGTGGCCATGCTGACATGTCCTCCTCCCTGTCAGAGCAGACAGGAGGAGGAGGAGGAGGAGGAGGAGGAGGAAGAGGAAGAGGAAGAGGAGGAGGACGAGGAGGAGCGAGGTCCTCTTGCTGAGAGCAGGACAGTAGTAAACGTCAGACACACAGTCAGCCTGCAGCGTAGCTGCTCAGGAAGGAGTAGAACATGGGCAGCTTCATGCGCTGCTGGTCCCGTCGACACCACGCCATCACTGTGCCCTCGCTGTTGGCTGTGTAGAGGTGGTGGCCGTCACACGAGTATGTCAGGCTGAGGCAGACAGAAGAGGAGATTATTAGACTTCTGACAATGAAGTGAACAAGTGGCATCACATAAAAGCACAGAGAATAGCATGACTGTAGTCCTGCTAAAATACCTGATGATGGGTTTGCTGGACTTGGGGAAGGTGATCTCTCTCACTGGTTTCAAATCCCAGGTGCTCCACAACCTGAAAGCATCCATCAGTATAAATAATTCAGTATCTCTAGAAGAGTAAAGAGAAGAGCATGTAGTAAATGCTGGACAAAATATATTGCTGCTTACCTGACGACGCCGTTCTCCAGACCACCGGCGATGACGTTGACGGACACGCCCTCCGGCTGGTTGGAGAACGCCACAGAGCAGATGATCTCTCTGCAGTGGACGTGACCAATCAGATCTCCGTTCACCGTCCACAGCCGAAGGTCGCTGCCTCCGCCCTCTGGACACAGAAAACAGCAGTCATAACTCACATCAAGGACTGAAAGACACTTCAATAACCTGGAAATGTGGTACAATAAACACTGAGGTTATACGGCAAAACAACCCTCACCGGAGTCACAGACTGTTGCGATGTCCCCCGTGGTCTCACTGGCAGACACAGCAGTCACTGGGCTTTTGTGGCCTGTGAGGCTTTGCACATAGCAGAGTCTGAAGAAACATGAAACAGCTTAAAAACATCACCCACTCTGCATGCTGCAAGA